CTTTCTTACAACCCACTCACCCCCAAAATAACAGTAATCTGTTTCACATTTAGTTTAACAATCAATATAAAAGAATTGGAGGGAGTAGAATCATGATAATTAGAGGTCAGATTTAGTTGTTGTTATTGTTGTTGTTGCTTTTCCAAATAGACATCAAATTGGGATTGCTTTTCCTACTGCTGTGATATAGTTCCATGGCAAAAGCAATTTAAGGGAGAAAGGGCTTATTTGCCTCACAATTCTAGGATGCAGTCCATTGTTGCAAGGAAATCGAGGCAGTAGTTAGTCTCATTGTACCCACAGACAGGAGCAGAGAACAATAAATAAATGCATGCACGACTATGCTCAGTTCACTGTCTCCTTTTCATGCAGTCCAGGGCCCAGCCCATGAGACAGTGCTGACTGAGTTCTTCATGGGTCTTCTAACCTCGATAAACCCAATTGAGAGACTTCCTCACAGATAGGCATGAGGGCAGGCCAACTTAATCTACACAATTCCTTAGCGAGGCTTCCTTCACAGGTAATTCTACGTTGTGTCAAATCAACAATCAAAACTAACCATCAAGGAGGATGGAGAAATGGCTCAGAGATTAAGAGCCTGGCTGCTCTTCCAGAGGACCTGGGTTCAGTTCCCAGCACCTACGTGGTGGTGGTATCAGACATGCACATGGTACCCAGACATAAAAGCAGGCAAAACACCTATACACATACAATAAATTTTAAAACCAAGCAACAAAAACCTGCTCTAGAGAATGACAACTAAAAACTAACCCCCAGTGGGTGCTGGATGATGTTACTTTCTTCCCAATATGGATTTTTCTTATCTTCTGTTAGAGAGAGTTGGAAAAGCTTATTGCAGTTGAATTGGGCTGAGGTAATAGTCATCATCACGAAGCCCACCTGAGATAAGTCTTGATAGCAACTCTTCACGAACCTCTGCTCTGCCTCGTCTCTATGGGTGAGCATTCCAAGGGTCTGAAGAGACTTCCTCCTCCACCTCTCATCCCTCCTCTTCCTCTTTTCCTTAATTGTTTTCTCAAAGTAGAGTTGACCACATAGTAAAATGGATTTTTTTTTTTAGTGTTGAGTTCTGAAATTTTTTTATAGTAGTTAATAACTACCACAAATAAAATCTGCAAGAGCCCCAAGGTGGAATTCTCTTTGTGAACTTTAGGTTTCTGCTGCTCGCCTCTGTGGGACAGCTTCTCAGAAATGTGGTCCTTGGTTTCTGTTTGTGTTCTGTTGTTCTGAGGCAGGCTCTCGCTACATAAGCCAGGCTGACCTTGAACTTAATATTGTAGCCCTCAGTCTCCCCAGTGCTAGGATTACAGACATGTACTGCCCTGCCTTGTGTGTTTGTAATTCTCTTATGTCATCTTGTCTTTGACGTTTTGAGGACCACAGCTGTCTCAGTAGAAACTGCTGTTTCCCCCTTCAACCCTTGGATGTTGCGCTTTGAAGTTCCGGTTACTGCAGCAGCTTTCCGATGCCGTAGGAATGACCTTCTTATATTTTGTCCCAGTTTTTCAGTTGTTTCCGATAATAACAGTGGACTGCTCCATGCCGATCTACTCTCGGTATCTCAGTCAGTCGACCTACACTCAAACCAAACTCATTAAAAGCCTGCTTCACGACAGTTTTTGTAACCAATCTTAGAAAAGCCTTGGAAGCTATGAAAACTCCATGGGTTCAGTCAGGGAGAAAGCTTTGGAGTAAGGCATTATGGGTTTCATTTCAACTCTATCATTTATTAACTGTGCAACAATGAGCTTGAATCTGTTTCTTTACTTTCAGATGGCAAAAATTAAACAAGAGAACACATACCAAGTTCCTTGTACATAGTACACACTCAGAAAGTTCTCAAGATTATTATACGGAATGTTTTTATTTCTCAAGGAGATATAAAATATAATCATCTTACTTTAAGCCCAGAATTTGGGAGGCAGAGGCAGGTGGATCTCTATGTGTTTGAGGCCAGGCTGGTCTACAAAGTGAATTTCAGGACATCTAGGGCTGTTACACAGAGAAACCCTGTCGCAAAAAAAACAAAAAGAACAAAAGAAAAAGAAAATGAAATTCAACTTCAGAAACATGTATCCTAGGCTAGGCATAGCAGTTCAATCAATCCCAGCACTTGGGAGGCAGAGGCAGAAGGATCTCTGAGTTCGAGGCCAGCCTGGTCTACGAAGTGAGTTCCAGGACAGCCAGGGCTACACAGAGAAACCCTGTCTCAGAAAACACACACACACACACACACACACACACACACACACACACACACACACACACAAACACACACACACACACACACACACACACACACACACACACACACACACACACTCATCTCTTAGAAATGACTGGGATGGGATAGGACCAGGTAGTCTGGGAAAGGAGAGTGCAGTTGGCTTTATATTTATAACTACAGGGTCTTTCACATGTGTTGAGATACATAACACAGCTCTTTCCTTAAAAGATCGTATGATCATATATAAAGCATCTGAGTTGAAGATCTCTTAAAAACACACTCCAAATACTTCATATTGAGCTGAGGAACTGAGAGACCAGGAGTGGTTAAGTGACTTGTTCAATATCCATCTACTCATCGGTGTTTATTTAAATGGCCTGAATGCCCTAAAATTCCCTCTATTCTAACAGACTTCTAACTTCCATACTCAATTATAAATGTGAGGAAGAGACAAGTATTAATGTTTTATTGCCACTGGCTCATTTGGACTGAACTCCACAGATCTATTTTTAAATATCTTATTTTAATATCCATCTCCACAAGGTACTTGACTTCCTGCCAACTGAGACTGAAATAGCTGCCTCCCATTCCTTTCCCATTTCAAGCATTGTGTCCCGTAGCTCTCACCCCCTGTGTCATTAAATAATGTTCCATCTTATTATCTAGAGTGGAAGACTCAATGGAATTCGTGTAAAACCACACGAAGCACTCTTCTTGTTTCCCAAGTGTGGAGCAGTGCCTCCCAACATAATCTACAACACAAAGTATTTGTCATCCTTCTGGGCACTAAATGGAACCCTCTTATGGGTGAGACAATGTCACCAGCCACCCATACCCTCGTGTTTACCAGCAAAGATAACACTTCTGAAGACCCCTTCTGAGTGACTTTCCCTGAATCCCTGGGGGACTGAACATTGTGGATGAGTTTCACAATCACAGTTGTTTGATAGAAATAATAATGCTGACATCAAGGGGCCCTAATTCAGCTGTGGAAGGTAACATGTTAAATTCATTCTTCAACTGTTTCTTCGTGATGGCTAAAACATCATCTATTTTTATTAAATTCCTAATTTAACTTTTGCAATGATCCCTGGTTACAGTAAGTCATTATCTGAAACTCTCCCTTGGCATCCGTTTTGAAAATCATACCTAAGAACATTCTTAATAAGAGAAAATTCACATATGGTTATAGAGACCCCTGCATATGGTTTTAACCAATTTTTTACCAAGAAAAGTGCTAATTGCTACTTCTTGTGTCACCAAAGAGTTCACTTAGCCACTTCTTCAGGGCCCAAGAAAATCACTGTTTTAGAAGAGCTTAAAATCTGATGCGAAGGAGACAATCTCTCCTTTGCTTTCATTACACCTCTGTTCCCCATAGTGAATGTTTTCATGTAAAACCCGCGTCTCCCCACGCCTGGGTAGATGGTTATGTCAAAGGACAGATAAATACTGCCTGGCTGTTTGCCGCCAGCTCACTAGGGACTGGGGAAGGAAGACAGGCTCATTGGACGTGTGTCTAGCTCCCTCCCTCCCTCCCTTTACCTTAGCCGTTTCCTTCCTTAACTTCGTCTGGTCTAAACTCAGCTTGGCCTGTAGAGAGAGCTTGGCAAGTGCTTCAGAGGAAGGTCAGCCAGATGTCTGTGCTGGGCACTGCACCGTCAGCTGTGGCTAGAAGGGATAAGGTGAGGGCTGGTTCCCACTGACAGTGATGATTACCCTGAAACAGAGCAGAAAATGCATCTACTCATTTTCAGATGCGCAATGTGAGCCTAGCACTCTCTTGACTCCCTTTTAGTTCCTTTGTTATTTATTTTGTTTTTCTGTCTCACTCACACGATAGATCACACATACACATACCCACTAGACCAAAAATGGCCTTTCCACCTACCCGTAGCATTTTCTTCCCTTGACTGTTTTTTAAAAAATTAAAATACCAAAGGTATTAGGAGCAGAGAAACAGAAGCTAGACAAATAACATTGGTCCTGTCAGAGCAGATATACAGCCATGCATCCTCTTATGCCTCATCATTTAGAATAATTCAGGGTTTGATTCTGTAATTATTACATTTATTTTCTTTAAAGTGAAAATGTACGATAATCCCCTCCTCGTGTATATATGTGTGTGTGCGTGTGCACGTGTGCGAGTGCATATGGCTTATTCGTGTATATGTGATGCATCTGTGGAAGTCGGTGGACAACATTCCTGCCAATTCTCACCTCTCCACCATCTTTGACCAGGGTTTCTTTGTCAAGCTAGCTGGACAGACAGCTTCTGAAGATTCTCGTGTCCCCAACTCCTATCTCCCCTGGAATTACAGTTCCTTGGATGACTGCCTCTACCTTTACTTGGGTTCTGACGATCCATACTCAAGGTGGTCAGGTTTTCACAACAAGCACTTTTACCAGTCCAGCTATCTCCCCAGTCACAATAAGCATTTGTATCAGGCCTGTGTTCTCTCCTCAGTGTCCAACTACCAATGGTACCTGAGAGAGAGCAGGTATTTTAAATACACATACTCTAGAGCTGGAGAGGTGGCTCAGTGGGTAAAATACCTTGCCACCGAGCCTGATGACCCACATTCAATCCCCAGAACCCTCACGGCAGTCCAAGCTGTCATCTGACCTCCACTCATACGCTGTGGCACCCATGTGCCCACACACTCACAAAATAAATAAAGGCACAAGAATGAATATGTACTCTACACTATAGGTTATTCTACTTATCTTCCAATCTTCCCTTTTATTCCAGATAATCAATAACAGATTTCAAGATCATCCAATTCAACCCACAAGAGTTGGTGTTCAAAGACTCAGAAGTAGGCATCTGACTGCTTCCCTGTGAGTAGAGTTTGTTTCTTTGGGCTCTGCTTACAGTAGTTGTACAACCTCTTGCTAAAATTTTGCATGTAAAGGTACATCATGAAAGACCAGCCTGCCTGCTACAGCCCTGGTCATTTAGTTAGCACTCAGTGGATCGGGTAGATGCTATCAAGGTTTTAAGGAATGTTTTCCTGTTTTATAATGACTTTCTGTCTTATTTCTCTTTTTTCAGTAATGGACTCTTTACTCCCTATGACTAATACTATCACCGTGAGGCAATAAAGAGGATAACTGAGCCACATGGAGCCCACAAGCTCCCTGTTGCAAAAAGACTAATGATTGCTGGAGCAATACGCAGCAAACTCTTTCAGCAAGTGTACCAGCTACTTTTCTGTTGTTGTGATAAAACACCTCAACCAAAAGCAGCTTGTAGACAAAAGTGTTTGTTTCGGCTCTTTGCTCCAGAGGGGTGAGAGTCCATCATGCAGGGACACATGGCAGCTAGGCAGGAGCAGGAAGCTGAAAGATCACATTTCAAAGGTAAACAGGAAACAGAGAGTGAGCTGGAAGTGGGGTCATGCTAAAACCTGCCCCCAGTATATACTTCCTCCAGCAAGGTTCCATGTCCTAAAAGTTCCATAACCTCCCCAAACAGCACCTCCAATCAGGGACCAAGTTTTAAATACATGTGACTAGCGGGGGCAGGGGGGGGCACGTTTCCTATTTAAATCGCCACAAGTATACCAGCCAAAGCACTGGAGGAGTGCAAAGAGGCGCTTCCTTAGACAGGATAGAGAAGGCAGAGGAAACGGAGGGAGGGAGGGTGGCCTTAATTGAAAGAAGGCTTTTTCAGTAATTTAGCACCATTATCGGGCAATTATTGCTTCAGGATTATATCAATTGTCCTCTATTCCTCTTCCTTATGTCCTTGGTTCTCTTTTAGCAGAACCTCTCTTGAGGGGTGGTGTGTGTGTGTGTGTGTGTGTGTGTGTGTGTGTGTGTGTGTGTGTGTGTGACTATTGGCAGGAAAGGCTATCTGAGGTCTACAGCACCTTCTCTGTATACTCCCACCCTTTCAATGCTAGCTTTCTTCAAGTACTTACTCCCACACTTCCTTTCTTATGGTCCTAAAGTAGCCAGGAAGTAGATGCCCATTGCTGGGGAGGTACCTCAAAATGCCACTGACACTTGGTTGTGGAATTTTACAGAAATTTCTATTTCTATAAAAGAGGAAAATTTGAAAGAAAGAGCTGTGCCGGAGCATTGCAGTGAATGGTGGCTGGTGGCCAGGATAGGTGCCTCCCAACTGTGCCCCATTAAGTCCAGTCACCTGACAGGCTTGAAGGAACAGACCACTTTCCTGTGAGCATGTGAAAGACAGGCTTTGAGTTGTAAGCACCCAGAAGCCTTTGCTCTTGTTTCCGAACATCGTGAATGTGAGACTTTATAACCACCGTGGGCCAGTATGTTAAGAAACAGTTGAGGCTTCAGATGGAAAGAGAAGTTTGGGAATCTGTTTTCTTTCATTTTCTTCGAATATTGCAGAATGAGTTCCCCGGGACACGCCTAACAAAGTGTTTGGTCTCTTAGCTCAGATTTGCTCCAATGTGTTATATATAATAGGATTTAAATGTAAAATATGGTGCTTCCTTATGAATTTCTGGGAGTGGTTGTAGAATGAGACTTGTGGGTGGAGGCCTGAAACCCCATGTCTATCTAGGAGTCTCCCCTACAGGAGGCTGCTTCTGGTCTTTACCATGAGAATCAAAGCAGGTCCAGAATGAGCCTGGATGTAGCCATATTTGGCTAGGGATTGAGGAGACACGGGAACACGGGTTCTCAGGGTCTTCCCACCTGGTTGGTTAGGAGAGTAAGAAGAAATTCTAGTTTCTCACGTGGACACTTGTAAACTTGGCTAAATGATGGTGTTTCCCCGGCCAAGAAATCATACTTGGCCTTCGGAGGAACTTCCATGAGAGCTCACACCCTTGCCCAGCACAGCTTCTAATGGAAGAGAATGCCAGGGTTTATGGGGAGAGCGGGCACAAGCAGCAGGGACAAGGCAGATGATGGTGCCAGGAGCCCTGTCTACAGTTCCTTTCCGGCCCTGGTTCCCATATGCGCAGTGAATATTCAGCAAAGAGAAAGGAATGATTGAGCTATTTATATCTGAAACATAACCGTCGGAAGTCTCACCTGGAGTTCCAAAATGGTAAGCTCTGACTCCACGGACTCCTACACTTTTCTTACCTCTGTCCTGACTCAACGCCACAGCCCTCCAGTAAAAGAACAAATGCTCGACTTGGATGGGGGCAGCGGGTTCAGACAGTTTCCTTCCTACTATTCTCTATACCCTAAGTCCAACAATGCCAAATTAAATCTTAATTCCATTGAGTTTTCTGAGAGGAAAGGGCAGAGTTGCATTCCCTGAAATGGATATTTTAGGCTAAAGTTATTACTTGGAGGGGGATTCCCTCCCCCCTTTTCCTAATTTTAAACAAAAAGTCCATCATTCATCCTAACACCAGCCTTTAAGAGCTGGAGACAAATGGAGTCTGAATATTCACGCCAGTGTGGTATAAATGAGCTGTGATCTCAGGATGTTGGCTGCTGCGCTGACAGGGAGAAAGAGTGGTTTAATATCTTTGGCTGAAAACACTTTCTTAAAGGATGGAGAAGGCCAACATTAATATCGAGTCCTGTTATTTAATAACTAAAAATGATATATTGTGGATGGGGGCATCCGAAGACCAGAGGAGAGTGCGTTCCTCAAATCCAGAGAACGCAGAATGGGAGCAGATGCCAAAGCGCTGGGCTTGAAGGAAGGAACCATGCTAAGAGCATTTTCCTTGAAATCTTCAAAGACTAACCCCCATAAGTATTTATAACCATGATTTTTAACTTGATTTCATTACAGATTTTCAAAATTTATAAATGCAGGTGGTCCCTGACTTACAATGGCTGCATTTAGGATTTCTTACCTTTCCAATGGTGCAAACGCCACATGCATTGATTAGAAATTGTGTTTCGAGTTTTGTGCTTGGATCTGTTCCCAGGCTGCAATATGCAGGCTGATACTCTAGCAATGCTGGGTACCACAGCTCCAGTCCCACCTGCCCATCATGAGATCCAACAACTGATGCATGAATGGACTGAAACACCGATGCTTGGTAGGCCAGGAGAAGTAAATACATCTTCAAGTTATAACAGCTTTATCAGGATAATGTAAATCAAGGAGAGTTTATCTAAAGACATTTGTCACAAAGGGAGACTCTGGGGACCTTTTAAACTGCCTCTCCCAGATAAATGGCCAGTAGTTTGTAAATTAAAGATGTAATTGTAAGTTGAGGGTGGTGAGGAAGGCTGTGGTTACCATTAGCTGAAGCTTCCTCAGACATTCATCTTGCTTGTTGAGTCATTCATCCTACAGACATACATTGAATGGGATCAGCTCCACCTCAAGTGCTATTTTATGTCTGGGCTAGCAATTCTAGTATTCTTCCTTATGAAATGAACCCTTTTAAAAACTCAATGCAAGGGAGAACTTGGTGAATCCAGTAATGTTCTCACTGATGTAAATTGTGGTGTCTGATATTCTTTACATAGTTTTCATCAACCTCATGTTGGCAAAGGGTCACAATACTTTAAATTTCCATGTCCCCTCATCCACCTATAATACATCGTTGTGTGGTTATAGACAAAGCATTGCAATGTGTCATCTATGTGTGTCATTCTTTTTCTGAAGTCATTTTTAAAAGTGACATCTAATTGTCCCTATATTATTTGTTCCCATAATTCTGATATTTGAATGGCATTTAAAGGAAAGAAGAGGACCATAATAATCATTTCTAATGAACTGAAATAAAAAGGAGAGGAAGGCTGCCTTAGCATTTGAGTCAAATGTTCATACAAATCAGAGGCAAGGGACCAGAAGCGGCCTCTTGTGAAGGCGGTGAGTCCTCTCATTGGGATGGGGCCCGGCCCCAACTCCAGATCTAATTTCTTCCAATTAATGTCATATCCTGTCTCTTAAATGAGATCTCCAAAATAACCCACAAACCCTAGATCTCCCCAGAAATGGACACAGATGAACTCCCGTGATTTGGATTCATGTCAAAAGCTAATTACGTGAGCATAGCAAAGACATGGCCGAAGTGTGAAGTGTGGTGGTTTGTTTTCTTAAGGTTTTAGAACGCATTCAGCTTATTTTCTCAAGTGTCTCCCACTTAAGTGAAATAATAAATCAGTTTGCCAAAGCACAAATGAACACAAACAAGAGATTCATCTTTACTTCATTAATAAACATCAAGTATGAACTTACCTAATAGCAAGCAAGCCAAAACCCTCTGACAGGAAACGGCTCCTGGGAAGATTTTGTAGGCGCATCTAAACCCTTCCAGACTGTCATATGATCATTTCATCACTGAAGTCCTTGCTCCTGTCTCTCTTCTTTCATCCGTTTGCAGGACTTGTGGAGCTGAGTGGTACGGTTGAAAACACACACTGTGGGACCAGGTTACCTGATTATTAATCCCGAGTCTACCACTAACTAGTTCTATGACCTTTTGTAACTAACTCACTTTCTCTGAGTTTTGATATCTCTCTATAAGAAATGAAGACAATAAAGACTGTTACAAGGACCTAACACTGGCATTTATAAACTTCATCTATTAGCTAAATCAATGTTTTGGCCTAAGTTAAGCTTGTATGGGATTATATTGAGTTCATATGAACACATCATTATGAGTCTGCTCTTGGAGCTTCGTACTGAGGTGGGACTGGCCTATGGTTAAATATCATGAAAAACTGCATAAGGGTCACAAACGAGCAACTGGAAGCCCATGGTGCCCTGAAAAATGTGCTTCCTTGTATAGTATGCTTTTCATGTTTTTTTGGTTGGTTGGTTGGTTGGTTGGTTGGTTGGTTGGTTGGTTGGTTGGTTGGTTTTTGTTTTTGTTGTTGTTGTTACTTTGTTTGTTTGTTTACATTTTGAATTGGAATGTTCTTGGGGATGCATA